AAATTAAATCATATAAAGTAGTCTATTAAAACAATTATAAAAGTTGTAGCCAATGAATTCAAATTTGTTATAGTGTTTGCTCTTTCTTGATACAAAATAGTAAAAGAAGAAAAAGACATGAGTTGTCATAAACACAAAAGTAAAAACTAAAAAACTGAGTTGACACCACCTTCCCACGGCTTCCCCTAAAGTAAATATGGCACAGACAACTTAATAAGGATATATTGTTCTATTATCACGAGTAAATTACGTTTTTGCCCTTGTAGTTTGTTAAAAATTGTAGATTTCAATTCGTGGTTTTCAAATTTTTATTTATTTCTAATTCATTTTTTGAAGTCAAAAAACTACTTTCGAGTATGAAGAACTAAAATATGCACGATACCCTCACTGAGAAGACACAACGTGTGAACGCGACCACGGATTGATCTACGTACTTTCAAATTCAACGGCGCACGGGGTGTTCGTACGGAATTTAGAATTCCTATCAGGATCCAACCACCTCTCTCTCTCTCTCTCTCTCTCTTTATATATATATATATATATATATATAACGCGCACACACATATACACATACATATATTTATATGACGGTAATCAAATGGAAACCATAAAACGTTACAAACTCATAAGAACTTAAATAAAAAAAAATATTTTGCTTACATATGTTTGTGTTTACATTGAAAAAAATACATGTAGAACTTTTTTTGATTCTCACAATGAAACAAAAATACACTTGAACACGTTTTAAATTGTGAAACAAATACATGTAAAACTATCACATTATTAAACACACATGCGCGCACACACACACACATATAGGGTCAGATTAAAGGGAATCACAAAAAAAATGAAAAACTATGGAACATTGTTAGGATCTAAGCGCTTACCACTACGCTAAAAGCAATTGCTGATGGAGAAGGCACAACTTATTTTCTTATACCGTAGCAGTTAGCGCTACATTTTGGTAAAGGAAGATGCCGGTCAACGACCCAACAATCCCCTCTCAGCATCTTCCAACACTAACAAGATCTTCGCTAGAAAACAATAGTTGTACAACACGCCTTTGACATTATGATGCACTTCATAAGTTTCGAATTCATGACCTACTCTGGTACCATATGTTAGGATTCAAACGCTTACAACAACACCAAAAACAATTGTTGATAGAGAAGACACAACTTATTTCCTTGTAACGTAGCAGTAAGCGCCACGTTTCAATTTAGGAAGATGCTGGTCAATGACTCAACAAACACCTTGGTAACCGTTCATATTGACGATAATTACATGTGCATACAAATCATTTTTAAGCAATTTGTCATGTATGCATATGTGCATTTGTAATCAATTTGTCTGGTATGCACGTGTGCATACCATGCACACATGCATAAATATCAAGAAACAACTTCAATTACCTATATGCACATGTACATACCGTCCAGATGAATCGTTATGAAAGTGTTAACTCAGTTTTTCATTTTTATGGGGTTTTCCCCGAACCCCATATATATGTTCAATTTTGTATGAGCTAAAAATATCGTTTTTTAACCGTGAGTGTCTGAATCAACTTGTGTACATCTCGACTAATACCAAAGACCTTTGAAACAGTCAAGAAAACCTACAATAGTCTTATACGGTTCAAACTAGTGACCTCTAAGAAAAATAGTCAAAGGTCCAGATGCTATTGCATCATATAATAAAGAAATACAATATATAATGAGGCAAGAAATTATTTGAATTTGACATAACATATACCAAGTGAGCTTTATTCCAGAAACAAGGAAGAAAACGTCCCTTTCATGTTTTTCTAAATTTGGTTTCTGTAGATATTATTACAAAAGAAAAAAAATATCAGATATCGTGTAACATCATTTTTCACTACCATCAATGTGATAAATACATCACATTCTATGCCATTTAAATTTACTACTTCAAAAATCCACATTTTATTACATATAATCACAAAAATAACGTCATCCATACCATCATCAGTGACATCATAATTTAGTTGACAAGTAAATTTGTGTTGTTTTCCAATTCATACAACCTTGGAGACCTATTAACAATAAATTACAATCAAAACCCATGTTTTGTTCGAGTTTTCGGTTGATTATCAATTTTATGTAGTATTTTATCGTATTATTTGGGCTCGATGATTATCTTATGTTAAAGTATATTTAAAAAGTTATATTGATAAGTTGTAAACTTGAGTTTTAACTGATTTTAAGAAACATGAGGTAAATGTAAGGTTAAATTATACATTGAAAATGAACACATAAGTTTTGATGCTAATATATGTGAAGGGAAAATTAGTAGAGTTATATATGGATCAACAATTAGAGGAAAGAGTCCATAAAACCAACTTATTAACACGTTCAAATCCATGATAGAATCCAACCTAAAAACTATGGTGAAAGTTATTAGTAATCCACTACTTGAGACTTATAAGGAGCAAACGATTCTTACTTTCTATCCAGGCTGGACGAGTTGTTACACTCATGAATACAAAATGATTTCAAAAATAACAATTGAATGATATATAGTCAAATTAATTCAATACCTTCTTTGAGTAGTTTTAAATTTCTGATGATCTTCAATTCTTGTGACTTACGTAAATGATCGACTTATAATATAATTATATGACTTGCTCGACGATTTCCGATATAGAGAAAATCTAACTAGGGTTTCACATATATGGGGAAGGGTTGGTTGAGACCATCTTAATAACACAATCCAATTAATTATGTCGGTTTAGAAAATCATAACACGTGCAACCCCATTTTAACGTTATTACACAACCCAATATTCCGACCTATTACAATTGGAGTTGGATTGAGTTGGTTTGGTTGGATTGAACATACAGTTTTCGGTAAGGTGCACGTATTTTAACACAAATAGATTTTCGTAGAGGGTTTATTAATTAGATGATTTCTTTATCAACAAATAATGCAAGTCTATATACTTCGAGCTTGTATCTCCTGTTGAGATGGACTTCCAAGTACCTGGTCTATTTTCTTTCTTAACCATGGAACTAATTCTTTTTATAAACCTGGATATTCAATCCGCTATACGAGCCGACTAATCTCAGGGTGACCACTTGCTTTGCAAATAGCTCAAAGTCATCACATTTGAACCTCCGTAGCCACAAATGGATTTTTATTTCTCTTTGGATTTGAACATGAGACCTCCAGATACTTTTGATCTTTGGAGCTAAGCTCAAACCAATCCCCTCATGTTCTGCTTATTTCTAGCCTGGATAAAGAAGTGTACTTACCCAACTTTAAACTTGAATATAATAGTACACGAAGCATGTTGTGTTTGCACGTACCACATTTGACCAGGGTGATGTTTGATTGTTAGCTAGCCTAGATTACGTGTGGTCGGGTTTCTTGGGTTGGGATCTTTATGATTCAATCTTACCTGGCTTATAGCTTTATTTGATAAAACAATAAAATTGATGTTATAGGACGCTTAAAATGAAAAAATGTTATAAATGAATACTTTATAGGACACAAGTTTATTGGACCAAACCAAAAATCGTCTTATTTAAAAGTGTTACAATAAGTTTATAGAATGCTTTTAGGCGTTTTAACAAATTTATCAAGACACTTTTATAAATTGTACTATTAACTATTTTATACGACACTATTTGAAAATATGTCTTATAAAAATATAGGTTTATATAACATTTCTCAAAAGTGTTATATGAAATAGCTAATAAGACACTTTATTTTAATAGCGTTGTAAAAAACTTGTTAAAACATCTAAAGCGTCCTGTTTTTTGCTTTGGTCCTATAAATTTGTATCCTATAGAGTATTTTGTTATAACGCTTTTTCATTTTAGACGTTGTACAAAATCGATTTTATTATAGTATAAATCAGTGATTTTATATATATATATATATATGAACTTTTTAATTAATTATTTTAATTAATTATTATCATTATTCCAGATTTATACAATGTTTTCCTCAAATTACTTCTCTCTCCCTTGCTCTCTGTTCCTTCTTTGACCTTGAAAAAAAATGGTGTCTATTTCAACCACCAAGAACAACAGTAACCCATTTCTCTCCGGTGATTGCTTTTTTCATACCTACAACAGTACTGTTGCTGCACCACTGTCATCACCACCTACGGCCACTCTCCAATCACATACTCTTTGTTAGAAAGATTTGGTTAGGAAGCAGCAGCAACAACTTTATGACCCTGGGTTTGTTATATTCTGGAGATTATAGTGATCTCAAGAGTTTGGGCATGAGACCCTCTATTAGCACGTTAAATCTTGGTTTTTGAAAGGGCGATAGGAAGCCGATTCGAGTGGGCTAGACTCCAAAGAAGGGAGGAAGGAACAAGAACAGTGGAGCAATTTTCAGATATCCCATTAATAAACCAAACGTACATATTTATAAGGAAAAGAGTGCAATACTAGTCTACTAACTACCACTTGCCACAACTAGCTAAATTAATGCAAACTATGTGGAACGTAGTCCACTTATTCTCCTAGAAAATTGGAACTAACACCTGCATGACTAACAAACATAAACTCTTCCAACGTTCCTGATGACTATTTCTCATGCTGACTTCAGTCTTGTAAACGGGCTGGACGTCTTTGATTTCTGAAGGGCCTGGATTGCAAGGATATTTCATTGGACCGGCCTAATACATTTAGCCCAATAGCTCCTTCGTTCGTATCAAAGGGCCTCCAGTTTTACTTGCGCTTTGGGGTCGGATTTATATAAGTGAACCCCACCTAAATGAAAACTATCTAATTTCTTTCAAAATCAGAAGTGATTATTTAGTTTTAGAATTTGGCAGATAAAAAAGACTATTCAATGTTCTTCTCGCTCTCTCATTTTACACGTTGTTTTAATTTGCAAGATTTTTTAATACTCATTTATATTTTATTTTGTTTATTATCTATTTCAGATGATCTATAGTTTTAGTAGGGTTGTAACAGGGCCTCTAAAAAGATTGAGAAAAGTCTAATAGTTTATATAATCTACATGGCTAAAGGCACTGGAGATCCAAGGGTGAGATTGTCCATTGACATTGCACCAAAGTTTTTCTGGCTTCAGGATTTCCTAGGGTTTGACAAAGCAAGCAAAACCCTTGATTGGTTCTTTAATTACCAAGTACAAGACCACAATCAAGGAGTTGGTTGAAGAAAAAAAGCACTCCTCATCTTCCACTGTTAGTACTCATCAATGTGAATTGGCTTTCCTAGGAACTATCAAGGGACCGAACGATCGATCAATTGATATAAATAAAGGGCTCAAGAAGCTAATTTGCTGGTAGCAAATCAAAGGAGAAAGATGACACAAAAAGACAAATATGATAATCTTGCAAGAGGCCAATCAAAAGCAGAGGCAAGAGCAGAAATTAATTGTGCATTAGGAAGCTAGGACACGATGAAGAAAGTTCCAAATCAAGTTTCTGGCGTCAAAAAGTGATTGCAGTGACTTCTTTCAGGAATCAAATCTTTCATGTTGTATAGGTATCAGAAGAGTACTCAAGCTTCCAAATTTTTGTCCAACAGTCTGCCTAAATTTACTGTAGATCATGAGCAGTAGGGCAACAATTCAATGGTTTAGATGTTGAAGTGTTAGATTAGGATAAACAATTATATGTATAGGTATAGACTTGGATCACGTGAGACCATGTTTTTGTGAGACCACTTTTTTATATTTGAAACTTCACGGTAAAACATTGTGAATGTAACTTTCATAGTGTTTTTGCTGTGAATGTTATTTATTTATTTTTTTACCTTCATAGTGTTATTTTCATTAGAGAACTGGTTGAAGAAACAAATCAGGCCTCATCTGATGAATCAAAAATGAAATTTCTGGAAACTATAATTGGAAAGAAAGAGTCAGTAGTCGAGTGTGTTGATGGCAAAAAGATGAAAACCAGGCGAAAATGCAAAGCTGGATTTGGAGTGAATAATGCTGCAAGAGACCAGTCAAGAGCAGAGGCAAGAGCAAGAGCAAAAATTGGAGTTAAGAAGCTTGATGATGACGTCGAATTAGTTCCTGATTCAAAGCTCTAACCCCCATGAAATCTGGTGGCTGTTGGAGCGAAATTGATCAACCACAAAGTAATTATAAAAAACCTAAGATGGGAATGCATAATGGATCGAGAAACAATTGTCGAAGTAATCAAAAGATTCTAGCTCTTTATTATATACTTCGCTTTACCAAAACTAGGGTACTATTTCATGACCAGCGGGTGATCATCATGCAATTAGCTAGTGAATTTAGGGGATTATGACAGAAGCAGCCAAGCTAGCTAGTGATGGATCAGCTGTAATTAATTAATTAGTTAACTAACGGTGGAGCTGTTGCAATATTATAATGATGTATAAGTACATATTATAGTTTATTATATCTTGAGGTGAGGTGACTTTAACAATCTAAAGTAATCTGTCTGTTTGGTTGGTTCTTACAAGTACGTTTTGAAAACCCAAAAAAGTAAACCATTTTGAATTTGAATTCTTATTTTTAATTTGGATAATCATGGATTTTCAGACGAGACCAGGTTGCTAATATCGTGATATGTACCCCTCTGCTTCTTCTCGATGATCAATTACATTTTCTTTGGCTTTTAATACCAATTACTTTTTATGTTCCTCGACAAAGTACCATGATCAGCTAGCATGCTACCTAATTGTGCCCTAGCTAAAAAGATGTCAAAAGCAAGAGAGAGGATTTCGAAGTTCCAGTTAAACCCAAAGATTTGATGAATCTTTTGCTGATTACTATCCACATCTTCCCTCATCCATCGAAGTCTTTCCTCCTCTCAATTCTCTTTCACCATGAAAAGATGATTTTCACTTTAACTACCACCAGAGGAACGACGGTGACCCAGTTATCTCCGGTGAATATTTTCTTCATCCCGACAACACTACTGCTCTTCCGATCATGGAGAATGTCACTACAATCAAACAAGATTTTGTTCGGCAGCAGCAGCAGTTTTCTGAAAGATCATGATTATCTTTTAGATTAGGTAATTTCTCTCCATACGAAGAAAACTGGGACCTCCAAGAAGTATGGACATAGGAAGATCTACAGAGCTCGAGGCCCTAGGGATCGGAGGGTGATATTCTCCGTTGAGGTCGCTGGAAAGTTCTTCAGTAGTACTGTCCAAGATTCGCTAGGGTTCTTTTTTCCGAAAAATAAAAAAAGATTTGCTAGGGTTTGACAAAGCAAGCAAAACCCTCGATTTGGCAGCTGCTCATCTTCCATAGTTACCTATCAATATAAACTGAAATTTCTTGAAGCCATTAGTGGAGGGTCTAGATGAGATTAACGGCAAAAAGAAAAGGTCAGTACTCAAGTGTGTTGCTGGCCAAAAAGAAGAAAACTAGGCGAAAATGCGCGCATAGCTGGATTTCAAGTGAATGATGTTGAAAGATACCAGTCAAGGGCAGAGGCAAGAGAAAGGATAAGAGAAAAAAAAGCGACTTAAGAAGCTTGATCATGATGACTTGAAGACAACAATTAATTTCTGATGATGGGTATTGGGTGTGACAGTCAAGTAAGCCCTTCAAACCAAACACTTAAATCAGGTTGTTGGAGTGAAAATGGATTTGAACCACAAAGTGATTATAATTAAAAAAACATAAGCTGGGAATTGGAAAATGGGTCAAGAAACATCAAAGCAATCAAAAGATTCAAGCTCTCAAAACTTTAGTATTTCATGAGCAGCAGAATTATCATGCAAGTAGTGATTAAATCTTCAATAGGTGTATCACTAATTACTCAAACACATGTATATAGACTACTCGGATGGAGATGTGCAGTGGCTAATTTGTCTAATTGTTTCTTTGTTTTGGATAACAGTAACTTCGAAAGAAAGTGAGGAGAAAACCATTAGGGGATCTTAACAGCAGCTGGAATTAATAAATGTGGAGATGGAGCAACGATGTAATGATGTAAGTGCAAATCAATTCTTGGTAATTACTTGATTATGATTATTGATGCATTTGACTAGATACTTCTAGCTATTGGTTCTTGATTGATCTGAAGATACAGATCTCAATTACCATATTACATTAAAGATATAGCCTTTAATCTTTTTGTGTACTTGTAGCTTGTTGATATAAAACACCAGATCTTACCCTTATGAGAAAGAAAATTTGTTTCTTGAGAGACCCCACAAAACAGTAAGAGGGATTGATATAGTTGTAATCCGTTCATTGACACATCTTAGTAATTCACTAGATAATACCCAAAGGTTAAAGTGTCAGCATTCTCAAGAGCAAATTTACTACTGTACATGTCTGCATTCAATCTTGTTCAGCAACAAAAGATTAATCCATAAGCTCTTCTGTTACCTTTCTTTTTTCGGTAGATCGAATCATTAGGACACTCAGGACACCAGTCATAATAGTTTCAGGATTTCATCACTTGAATCAAAATTGTAGGGTTAAGCCTTTAAAAACCATGTGGGTTAATTTCTCTGGCGTAGTTGAGGAAAACTAGTCTTCACTCTATGTCATGTTTATAGAATATCAAAGAAGATTTATAACTTTTGCGTCCTATTTCAAGCCTGTCAAAATTGATGTAGTTTCATAGTTTTCGAGAAAAATCATGACTTTCAGGTTCTTTACAATTAACAAGTACTACTGATCGATTTCACCAAGTGTATCAATCTCCTGAAAAACAAAAGCATATTGCAAAGGACTTGAAAACTAGCTTCATGCATTTAACCTGATAATCTTTGTCCATTAATTTGGTGTTATGTTCAGAGTAAAGATGTACTAACCAGTTAACATGTCTAGAATACTAGCCCTCAAGCATCTAGTTCAGTGATTATTTGAACCATTTTGGTGATACCTCCTTAGGTTCAGACCTTCATCTCTTTTCTTTCTAAAGAACATGTCAATTGTCAAGCATATACACGTGTGTGTGTGTGTGTGTGTGTATATATATATTGATTAACCTGAATATCCAACCCCGCTATGCGAGCCGACTAATCCCAGGGCGACCACCTGCTTTGCAGATAGCCCGGATTGGAGTCACCGCATTTGAACCTCCGTGGCCACAAAGGGATTTTTATTTCTCCTTGGATTTGAACCTGGGACCTTTTGGTGCTTTTGATCTTTGGAGCCAAGCTCAAACCAATCAGAGATCACGCTTGTGGTAAATCGTCAAGAATATTGGTATCCGTTGGAAAGAATCAATCATCTTTATTTCTAGCATGGGCATTGAATTTATTCATGGATATTGAAAATGAAAAACTTTATCTTAACCAACCTAAACTTGCCCAGCATTCCCACTTGGAGGTGGAATCTGGAGGGTGGGATTTGATCCATGCGAACATATCATCTACTCTGAAGAGTAGAAGTTTTGGTTTCAGAAAAATGTAGCCTTCATTTATGTCATCTTAGTATCACTTTATTTCAATAATTCATTTTCATAAGTAGAAGAAAGTCGAACAAACTAGGGGAGCAAGATTCATAGATGCATGCAGTTGTAAGTGTGCACACACACACATACACACACATATTTATATAAATGTATATAGATACAAGTATGTAAGTATAATTAGTAACGAAACAGAAGCTCATCTGCTTTTGCCAACACCTAACTCAGATCCTTTATTGTTGTATCTTGTTTTAGTTGGCAAAATGTTCTTTAATTACTCATTCTTGTAATCAGGATCATCATTGATGTAGGCATCAGTTATAATCTTTTCCCACATATCCATTCAATCAAATAAATTTCTATCTTCAGTATCCTTGATCTTTTCTCTATTAAAGTTCATCTAAAGTACTTAATCTTAATTTTGTTTGCTTTAATGTCTGAATTAGGATACAATTGTGCTTAATTATCATGCCACAATCTTGTATCCTAGAATGTCCATACTATTACTATATATATATATATATATATAGGAGCGATCAAATGAAAACCACTCCAATTTGTAAAAACCGTAAAAACTACTATCATCCGTCGTTAATCTTATGAAATTGTTTCATGAAATTGTTAATCTTGTGAAATTGTTTCATATAATATTTTTTTTGATGAAGTTGTTTCATATGTGGTTATGAAATTGTTTCATATGTGGTTATGAAATTGTTTCATATACTACTTAATGAAATTTTAATGAAACTGTTTCATGTATTTTTCTAAAATTAAAATAATGAAGATGATAATATCC